ATTGAAAATCAGAAATTCAGAATCCATTGGTCATTTGCTATATCAAAGAATTGGAATTCACAACTCTGTTCCTCATTTAAGAATTATAGTTTATAACTAGAATTCAAATATAAATACAATTAGAATCCAAATAATATCGATGACTTGGTAGTTTTCTAATATGGCAAGTTATAAAGGGGGTGGGATTGGGAGTATGGGGAATAAGGAAACAATATTGGATGCTTGACTTAGAGGACATCTTACCCCAACAAGTACCATAAAAATTTGCAGCCCCATTATAATTTCAATGAAAACACTCCTTTGATGAAGTTTGTGTAAATCCACATGGTGAATAAGAGTGGGTACAAGGGCCGTAAAATAGGTATTCTGATGAGATTTAGTGTGATATGCTTCTTTTAATTTGTAAGTTGCCTGTCATGGAACTTCAGTCTGTTTCCATCACATTAATTGTCATTCTTGAAATGGTTTCTTTCTCACACTTTATGTGCTGAATGTCCATGTTACTTTTTATCCCTTCTGGGTCACGTGCCCAAGTGTACCTATTTCTCATCTTTGAGTTTAGTTCTTATTATTTACTTTGAAATAACTTAATGCAATTCAGTTGTGATACTTGTGAAGCTTAATAAGTTTATGTTGGTTCTTCTCTTCAGCTTGCAGAGGCTGCTAAAGCTCAGTTTTCGCGTGATTATAGTGATCATCTTGCACTTGTTCGTGCTTATGATGGCTGGAAAAGTGCTGAAAAAGAGTATGGTGGTTATGACTACTGCTGGAAAAACTTTCTCTCTGTACAGTCCATGAAAGCAATTGATTCCCTTCGGAGGGAGTTCTATACTTTGTTGAAGGATACCGGACTAATTGATGACAACCCATCTTCCTTCAACGGATGGAGCCATGGCGACAGGCTTGTCGGTGCAGTTATATGCTATGGATTGTATCCAGGAATTTGCTCTGTTGTGGTGAGTGGTTTAACTATCAGCTAAAAGCAAATCTTATCTTCCTCGCTCCATGGCAATCAGTATCCTGTAAACTATTGTGCTTGAATCTATGTTATTATGAATTTGCAAGGGTTCATATCATTCCAATGTACCTTGCCATGCTATATTGTCAGGAATCCCTTAATTACAGGAAGTGGACTTTAGGAAGAAAAAACGTCTTGAAATTTTATTACATCTAAACTACAACATATAATCTTTCCTTGAATTTTGTTGGTGTTATCAATGCTCATCAAGGCCTTGCTGCCATACTGTCTACTGGAACTGGCATCCCCTTTGTTTGGTCCCTAGCTCCCTTTCCTTGTCCTCCACACCCAGTTTTTGAAATCCCTTCCTGTTCCACTCGTCACTTCTTTTTCCCCCATAGCTCAAGTAGAATCAATCGTCAGTTGTAAGAGTGATACTTCTGCCATTACTAGCTTGTTTTCTCTTGCACATTTCCTTTCTTGGTCACAACCATAACTTTGCATATCTACTAGTTGACTAATTGTTTCTTAAAACAACCCCCTTTTTTTTTTTGGACAACAAAAACAACCCTTTTTGATGACCCTGTTTTGTTGACTGTACTTCCAAAATTTGTTTAAAGCTATATTAGTCCAATAAAACTGAACATTAGTAAATCTTTAAACTGTTATTAATTATTAAATAAAATTAAATTAAATTAAAAACTAAAAATTGTGATAGTAAGTCACTAATTCAGTTATATAAATTGGATGGTTAAGTCAATTCTCAACGGGGCTAATGGAAATAGAAAGTAGAAGTTTGCATACCAAATCATATGTGTTCTTTTTGCCTATTTTGTGGGGAGGGGAAGGGGGGTGAGGGAGTTTGTAGCAAACCAGAGCTTGTATCTAGTTGTTTAAAACTACTGAAGAAGTTTGATTGGAGCTATAATGAGGTAGTTAGCTGGACAAATTAGAAGGTTTGCATGATCATAATATGATTTTGTATGCTGTGTGTCTCTGCTGCTCTCTATTACTATCTATAAGCTGAGCTGTTACATCACACTTTCAGACTGCAGTTTCTATGTACTAATTGAGTTGCTTCTGTCTCTGCTGCTCTCTTTTATTATCTTTAAATTTAGTTGCTTCATCATACCTGCAGACTGCAGTTTCTATGTACTAATAGCCTTAAATTTTCCCACAGCACAATGAGAAATCATTATCATTAAAGACCATGGAAGATGGTCAGGTGCACCTTTACTCGGTAAGATCATTTCTTTAGCTCTCTTGTTTGGATATGAAACCAGAAACACAATTATTTGTTTTACTGAGTATTCAAAATTCAAATTCAATAATATATTCAGATACTATTGTATCCTTGAGGAATTAATCTTTGTCTCTATGCTGCAGAATTCTGTTAATGCCCGTGAGGCAAAAATTCCATATCCATGGCTTGTTTTCAATGAGAAAATTAAAGTCAACTCCGTTTTCCTGCGTGATTCAACTGCAGTGTCGGATTCTGTGGTGTTGCTGTTTGGAGGAAACATTGACAAAGGGGAAATGGTAAGAAGAGTTGTCTTCACCCCAAAACAATCCTCATTTCAGAAAGTTTTTTTTGTTTTGGTACCCACCCGGGGGGGGGGGGGGAGATGGAGGGACTAACCATCCTTCCTCTCCTTGACCCTCTAACTCATTTCAGAAACATGATAATGTCTATATTGAACTCTGGTTCTGTGTACTACTTTAAGCAATCCTCATTTCCACTCGATACTCTCTGTTGTAGCAGGATGGACATCTGAAAATGCTGGGAGGATACTTGGAATTTTTTATGAAACCTATGATGGCAGAAACATACTTAAACCTGAAGAGAGAATTGGAGGATTTCATACAGCTCAAAGTAAGAAAAGCTCTTTACAGGGGTGCTCTATGAGTCTAAATTTCGATGGGAATCTATATATATATAATAAGTATAATGTTCACTTAGTATGACTGATTGTAGAGGCTTTTGTTTCTCCAATTTGATTCGATTTGAAGTCACTCCACAATAATATATAATTTTGCTTGCAGCTCCAAAATCCCAGAATGGATACATGTGCTTATCAGGACCTTCTGTTAGCCATAAAACTTTTTGTTACAGAGGACAAATGTGATGGTCGATTTGTGTTTTGCCGCCAGATTCTAAAGCCTACTGTTACTAAATCATCTATCTCACCAATGGTGCCAGCTTTGTCTTCTAGAACTCAAAGTGGACCTGGCGGTGATAACTCTAAGAGTCAACTTCAAACTTTAGTTACTAGGGCTGGGTATACTGCCCCTACATATAAAGTGAAGCAACTGTCAAATAATCAATTCAGAGCTACTGTAGAGTTCAATGGAATGCAGATCATTGGGCGACCTTGCAACAACAAGAAGAATGCAGAGAAAGATGCAGCTTCTGAAGCTCTAGAGTGGCTTATGGGTGGTACCCAGATGGGAAATGAATATGTTAATCACATGTCAATACTGCTGAAAAAGAGCAAGAAATGTCACAACTGATACTTGACATGTACTGACTGGAAACTGCATTAGCAGATTGCACTCAGCAGATGCTGCATGCAGAGCCTGATGAGGCCTTATGATTGGATAGTTTTGTGATCGAGTTGAGTCTATTCACCAGTCTGTTATTGATTGTCAACATTTTGGTGAGAGGACACCATGGTAAGTGCTTGTTCATGATTGAAGGGGAAAAATATTAATGGTCTACATTCTCATGAGAGAACACCATGGAAAATGCTTGCTTTTGACCAAAGTGGAAAAATTGGAGGGGACGGGGATTATTCTCGAAAGAAGATGAGCACAGATGATGTTATGTGTACAAAAATATGGGAGTTCTAGTTCATTTAGTACCTTCTAGATGCTTGGTAGGAAATACACTGCCATATATTGGTTGTACATTTTGCATGTAGAGGATATTTGTGGGGGAGGGGGGGGGGATGGGAAGTGAATAGTGATGGGGGCGAAATGGCTAGGAAAAGAGCTTTGCTCTTTACATGTCGCTCCATTTTGGGATAGTAGTCACAGAAAAGGTTACATCCAATTCTATTTTGTAAATTGCAACTAGAAGAGATATTAGGGACTACTACGGGTATTTAGTCCCTTTGTACAAAAACGATTTGTCTCAGTATAGCTTAGAAAATTTATCAATGCAGTACCTGTTAAATCAAGGAGATTGATTCTTCTGCTCCTATCTGTTGTATTATACAAATTATTCTTTAGGCAGGTATCCTGTCTGCATCATTTTTCAGTTATTGTGACTGCCTTAAACCAATGGAAGCAATGACACTTGTGTTTAGGCCTCTTGTTAATCTAGTACTGAATTCTCTTCATACGAGTTTTGTTCTTAGACCTCTGGTATTTGCCTTTTGGTGTTTTGTTTTATCATTTCTAAAATCCTTACCGTTATACTGTTATAAATTGAAATACGAAACAGGAGTACATCATGCAACATCAGGTGTAATATAGTAACTGACCTGTTCGGATGTTCACATTTAATATTTGGGATGGTAAAGGAGACCGAATCTGGTCTGCCCTCACAACGAAGGCTCCTGGCAAGATAGTTTGTTCCTCCAACTCCGCTGACTTGAAAATTTTCAACATAACATGGGGAGATGATAGAATGCACGCTGCACATGCTGGTGAAATGCGATGATGTGAAGATGATCTGGTATACTTCACCTTTGCGTTTGGAGGTGGAGAAATACACAGGTAACAACTTTAGGGAGTGGTGTTGCTCAGTGCGTGAAGTTCATAAAGACGCAAATTGGTGGTGTATTTTTTGGTGTATTGTGTGGGGAGTGTGGCTTCGTCGAAATAGGTGGGTCTTTGAAAGAAAGAGACTTGATATGAGTGAAGTCTTACGCAGAGCTGTGAACTTGGTTGGGGAATTTGAGCATGCGAAAGAAATTAGCAATGTTAATTCTCCTACTCCATCTTTTGAGTCCAAGTGGAAGCCCCCTTCGAGAGGTGTAATTAAAGTTAACTCGGATGCTGCTGTCTTCTCAACGAGTGGGTGGGTTTGGGAGGTGTGATGCGTGATGAAGTGGGTGATGTGGTTATTTTGACATGCCTTCGAGTGGAGGGTAGCTTTGAAGCTGATGTAGCAGAGGCTCTTGCGATGCGGCATGCCTTGAGTATCACACTGGAGTCGGGGTTCCGTAAAGTTTGTTTGGAAACCGATTGTTTAAAGCTCCATAATCATTTGATAAAGGGAGTAGAGTCTCCTACGACTTTTGGTATGATAGTGAAGGATATCAGGGCTCTAGCTAGCTTGTGTCAGTCTGTGTCTTTCTCTTTTGTAAAGAGGAGTGGTAACTGTGTTGCCCATGGGCTTGCTAAATTATGTAATCAGGTTGTAGAGCTTCGAGTATGGCTGGAAGAATACCCAAATGATGTTGCTGCTCTTGTTTTGGCTGACTGTAGCCACTTTGATTAATAAATGATAGCTCTTGCTTCCTGTCAAAAAAAAAAAAAAAAAAAAAAAAAAAAGTTACTCCCTCCGTATTTTTTATGAGTGAAAGATTTTGATATTTGCACTATCACTTAATCCACTTTAACTAATATTAATATTAATATCACTTAATAGTTTATTAATATTTAATTGTTATAATTTTTAATAATAAAATATTTCATCATCCAAAGTTTTAAAAATGTGTTCAGGAGAAACATTTCACTTAAGAAAATATGTAATACCTATATTTGTACAGTAAGTGCCATCTGATTTTTAAAGTTTATAACATATTTTTATTAGAATTTGATACAATTAGGGCCAGAAAATTTATATTTTGTAATGTTTGAATTGTACCAACACATTTTGAAAAGCGGATCTTGATCGTAGAACCAGGATTTAGAACTAAGCCAAGCTCTACTTTCGCGGGCGACTCTCGTGACTTCCTTTCCTACTATGTCTAGGGCAAGCCTATGAAAGCTCGGAATTTCATTCGACTTCGTTCAACCTTCCCCCTTTGGCCAGGCTTATACCTCCCAGACTAATGCTTGATATTCCATTCTTCTTATTATGATAAATCAAATTTTGGTCGTCCTCAGTGACTTATTATCAAGGTTTTTAATGCAATCGTCCATTGGAACAAGTCTAAACCTAAACTCTACTCTAGAAAGCAGTGCCTCAAGAATGACTACGTCATTTGGTCTAGTTAAGTGATAGCCTTAGTTGGCTCGCTCTGGCTCTCCGGCGATGAAGCAAAGAAAGATGTAATATAGTTAGTAGGGATTCAGACCTCTCTGAGACTAACACTTTGTTTGGATAGGAAGAAATGGAAGGAAAAGAAGAGAAGAGAAATGGAGGGGGACAAAATCTCTTGTTTGGGTAAAAGATTGGGGGAAGGAAGGGGAAGGAGAGGGAGGGATTCATTTTCCCTCTCTTTAATAACCATAATCTCTCCAAAATTGGAGAGATTTGGAGGGAAAATGGAGCTCACCTCCCCCTCCCTTTCTTTTCCCTTCCCTTCCTCCATTTTCCCTCCCCTTCTTTTCCTTCCTTCTTTGCTATCCAAACAAAGCGTAAGAGGGGTAGATGAGCTCTAAGCCTTCTAAGATGAATCCCAAAAGCAATCGTCACTGCTTTCGGCATATTATAGTATAGAAAGTATGCTACTCTACGATAGAGGCAAAAACCCTATGCCGGTGTGAGAATGGAGATCTTCATACTATCATCCTCAGTTCGTGAGTGCTGTTTATCACAATCCTGAAGAGGTGGCCTGGCTGTGTAATCAATCCTCGGCCAGTCAGTGCCACTATTGGTGTGAGTTGCGGTTATCTGACAAGTGCATAGACAAAGCAAATTAGCAATATGCTCATTTTTTGCCTTTTAGTTATAACACAAGCATAAACACCATCAATTACCTCCATACAAAAAAAAAACCGAGAATTCTCCATTAGGGCATTCAAATAAATAGTGCTCATTTGTACAATACAAGTTATACAACAATACTGAAGAATGAAAGAATACAACCAAGATGACCAAAATTAGTAATGGAACAAGACATATCCACAACCTAGATTAGAAGGAAAATATTAACCTATAACTCTTCAAGACCTGAAAAAATACCTCTAAAAGGAAAATTGTGATCTAATGTTTAAACAATGAGCATTTACAAATTGCATGGGAAAAAAAAAAGTATTTACAGTCGAACAGCTACAAGTCAAGAAAGGTTAAGGCATGAACCATCCCCACGATCCTCATGTAATGTAAATTAGTCTCTCTTCTTCTCTGAATATTTTTGCAATTTCCAAGTCCATGTCAACAAAAATATCAAAATTCCTACACCAAACGACGTCCAGAAAATCACCAGCCACAGAGGCATTGGATTTGGGTATAATCCTGGAAGACCAAAGAAATATATTAAGAATCAAGAAACTACTATAATGGAAATTTCAATGAAACTGCTGAATAGCTCATCTACTAATTGAGTAGCCATAGATTAGCGAACACACCATGTCCAAACTTGATACAGATGAGTAACTCGACAATGCAGATAGCCAAGGCAAGCCAGCATAATGCCCCCACCTTTTTTATTGGTTTTCTGTAAGGGTAAAAGGAAGAAGAGAATGTGATATGCCTTGAAGGTAGCCTTTAGCTACTTATCATGCAACAAAGGATTTCAAAATAAGAGAATTTAGGAACTAATCGAAATTTACCTAGGCCATAAAAAGGAAGGATTTGTATACCTGTCCTGTAGATATGAATTGTATTCCCGTATAGTTGGAATAGCAATTAGCCACCATAAAATCAACCTGTAGATGATGATGGGATTGCGGGGAGGAATCCAAAGACAGAACTTGAGAAAAAATGTGTTTAACTCCACTGTCAAAAACACAATGCACAGAAAGAGAACTTGTACAAAGCGCCAGGGACCAAGCAGTGGATGCCACTCATCTTTATCCCACCGCGCAGGTGTAAATTGTCCTAAAGTACGTTTAACCTGCAGAATTCAAGAAATGGATGTCTGTTAACCACAAAGTTGACATATCGCTATGACAAGGTTCTTTGAAAATTTGACCCATATTGTGAGCAGGAAAATTATCACTTAGAAGGATTTTTCAACAGAGTGAAAGATTGCAAATAGAGGCCACAGAAATCTCAGACAAAACAATATAAATGGAATTACGAAGCCTGCCAGAAGCACAGGCATAACTCTGACCCCTAAGGGATCATGTCTCCATGTGGTTAGGGAGTGGTGAGTGGTGGGCATAATCTGCCTTGGGATGAACCTCTGAAATAGGGGCTGCACAGCCTAATCTCAATTTAAATTGCACTTATTTCCCAATAGAAGAATTGTTTTTCCAGCAAATGCTATCCTAGCAGGATAGCTATGAAAGAAGTATAACAGTGGGACTATTCTTTGATTCCAATAACCTAACAACAATAATCACACTCTCACTAAGTCAACATAAGACATACCTTGCCAATGATATTTGGTTGGCGGCTTATTCCAACCCACTCATAAGTTTTCCCATCAAAATATCTCACAGTACGCATACCAGTCCAAATACCTGCAAATAGATCATAACAAGAACTGAGTACACCATAATATACACTACTAATCAGGTATATACTGATAGATCTCAACATTGAAATCTTAAAAAACATCAGAAAAGTTTGGGACTACATTATAACTGTTAGGTTAATGAGTTCATGATCTCATAGATCATAAACATACATACTACACAACGAGGTGGAGAAAACTCATACCCATTATTTATCTCTAGAAATTGGTTCAATTTCTCTCTATAAAGCTTACAAGGATCATGAGTTCTAAAACGTATGCCCAAATGGACATTACAACATGATGTTAAAAACAGAAACGGAAACAAGAATGCAGAGAGTCCCAAAATATAGGAGACAAGGAAATGTCTACTAAATATTTAAGTAAAAAAAAAAATATTACATGCTAAAAGTTGTATACTTGTATTTGGAACATCATGTTTCATATAAATAAATAATGATGATTAAAAAAATAAATAAAAAGAGGAAGAACAAGATAGGAAACCCGGGAAAACACATAATATCTTCCCCGCTTCCCTTTTTCCTAAAGTCAGCCATTACTTAAAGCCAATGATTAAAAAAATTTAAACAAGCAATCAAATACATATCCAGATGGAGAGAGAAGTCAGAACTATTGGTGAAATTGACAAATCTGCAAAAAAAAATTGAGCGGTAGAGGAGAATTTAAGAAAAAAATTAATGGTAAATAGGAAGAATCTGCTTGCAAATTGAGCAATAGAGGGAAACTATCGAGAACAATAATATAGGTGGCAATGATAAATCCAACTGCGAATTGAGCAGAGGGAGAGGGGATTCCAAAAAAATAATATAGGTGATCATGACAAATCTGCCTGCAAATTGGGCGATAGTCTGTCAGATCCAGCCCGAAGAAAGAGAAAGATCATCTTGCTCTAGCGGGCGAGTTGATTGACTTTGATCAGCAAAGATCTCGGCTTTACAAAGATTTTCCTCCATTATTATATGATGATTCTAGGGCAGAAACTTGTGAAGAAAACTCAAAAAGTCGAAGCATATCTAAAGCAGTACCTTTTAACATCGGGGGTTGGGGGGCATTTTGAGAGTATTTCAGAATGTATCTACTTTGAGGACGTTGAAACACAAACCTTAATGTGCAGAAGTAAGACTTCCATGTTAAATGGGATGGAGGATATATTCGGTAACTTGTCTGTCTACAGTGATAAATATCAGAATATTACCGAATTCCAAAAATAAAAAAGAAATGGAGACAACATGAATAAGCAATTTGTTTAAGTTCTTGTTTCTTTAGCAACTTATTACTGGACACACCACATCTGTTATCTTTAGAAACAGTAGTCTAGTTCTAAATCACATCTCAAGAGACTATAAGCAAGGAGGTAATTTTTTTTTTTTTTTTTAACTTTTACAGTTTGCACGTCTCCAAGATTAGGAAAATTTTTAATGCCTAGTTCAGTAAGCCATGTAACAAATGGCTTGGTTAGTAAGCTAGTGTTCCCATGCAATATAGTAAATCAAAGACTTCTGCACAGTGCATAGATGCACATGCCAAAAGTCTCTGTAAAATCAATAAATAATATGCAAATCCACATCTGAAAATGGATGTGATGGCCTGAAAAGCCCGAGGCTTGGTCTAGCTTGCCAAGCATATGAACAGTCAATAGGAAGAAAATCTCTGGTTGGCCCAAAGTCCCAAGCCTAGCCTTTTCCCCAAAATGAGTTCATGTACTTTTTGCGCGATTCAGCTTTAACACTCAGAATTTCATGCCAAAAAAATATTATTAGGAATTTTCACATGGTAATCTTGTATGTTAAGGTAATTCACAAGGTACGCCTAAACTGAAGTTTAATTCAGATAATAACCTTCGATGCAAATTGTTGTGAGCACCCCATTTTATAGACCATAAATGGATTAGGGAAGGACAGTTGTTAATCAATTCAAATCAACACATGAATGCTAAAATAATTTTCTCACAAGCTTGAACTGGGGTGAAGGAAATTTTTTCCACAACTAACCAAACCAATTGCAGAGCAGGATGTCCAAAATGATGCTATCCCACCAACACTCGTTGAAATTTGGTAGCATATGACGGAAGGTTAGCTGAAAAGAACAGCAAGAGTCAACATCATAACATAACAAAACCCCAACTGTTTCCCTGTAACAGGAACAGCACCACAAACAAGTAACAGGGGAGATTATTTTTCTTCTTCAGAATAATTACCTCCATCATTTCAAATCCAATGGATAATACCCAGAGCAAGGGCTGATTCCGAATCATAATCGCCTTGCCCCACCATCCAAGAATGTGCGCCAGGAAAAATTCGTCAAATATTGTTGCCTATAAAAGAACTCGAGCATTAAAACACTGGTATCATGAATGATGCAGGCTAAAGAGAAGAAGCACATTGTAAAGAAACAAGGAAAATATATTTCCAAATAAGATAGATGTGAAAGGAGTTATCATACATAAAGGTTCTTAAACCTGTTGTTGGGGTCTTCAGGAACATATATTCGACAATCTGAGCCATATGATCTTTCAGGAAGTTCTGCAATAAAATCCAAAATAATTCACAAACTGAAAGTTAAACACTTGTAAAAGCATTTGTTGTCAACAGATTACAGAGGTCCTACTGAATTTATGCCAGTATGCCACAGCTAATTTTCAAACTTTGACACAGCAATTCCTACACAAGCAAATCCACTAACGAAAAACGGAAAATTTTAAGACATGATTGTCACTAAATTTTATAAACCTGCATGATAGAAAATACTAATACAAAGAACTTATGACAGATATGAACTAGATAAATAGGTGAAAGGTCATAGATTCAGGATTAATGACAAAGATAGTAACAGATCTAAACAACCAACTGAAAAGGCCAAATGAGGTTACTTGATATACAAATTATCTACTGATACCTTTTGTCAACCAGCAACACAAGCCTGGTCACTCTACCCAAATCGAACAGATCACCCACATGCTTTCTTAAGTGAAAATCAAGAATAATGAAGAGACAAGAACTCTGCTTCAGTACAAAGAGAAGCCAAGGTTGTTACACTGTCAACATGTGCAACAGATTGAACATCTTGGTAAATCCCTTCAGTAGATTTATATTATGATTGGCAAAGCTGCAATATATAAAACAAATATCCATCTTTATGTTACTTTTTCAAGATGAAGATTTAGGAGAGCTTTCCTGTGATATATATGTCACACACATGTGGTTCATATACCATCTTATCTATTAAAAAAAATGGTAGATGAACAAAAGATTTGTGAACAGAATAGGGTGTGAATGGATGAATTTGCTAGCTTCCATCTCTTTGGATCCTTTATTTGATTGGGACCAATCCTTCCTCTTCTTCCAACCATCAGCATCGTTGACTTGTAATTTTTCAAATAAAGCAGTATAACATGCATATAATCACATCTTTACACCAACCCTCATGATATAGTGCTCTTGTGTACTATGTGAAATTTACAATAGGTAGCATACAATACTCTGGACTAAAACACTTGGGCAACTGTTGTTTGATGGTTAAAGAAAATAAATCGGCTACTTCAGCAACATTCTTGAGTAAAATATTAGCTAAACTCCCACAAGGATAACAACTTGCATAGGGCCTATTATTCAAGGAACCAAAATCACCTTCCATGCCCTTTTAAAGAGGCAAAGAGGGAGAGCGGGGACAGTAAATCAAAGTAAATACGGTTGGGAGGTTCTCTAAACTTCGATTATTATAGTTTAGGGGGCAAGGCAGCACAAATGAACAAATACACATGATGAGGAAAGAACAATCCTTATTGCATTTTCCAGGCCATTGGCCTCAAACATCAACAGGCTAAGCTGAGTGGCAATGCTAACACTCTGATAACAGTAGGTGTAAATAGTAGTGCTCAGGCTACAATCCAGAGCCTGAGTTACAATGAAAGCTGTTTTTGGCAGATCAAACACACTACATTATTGCCTACTAACTCCAAACACATGTGCCTCCTTTTACTTAGAAAGAAAAGCCTATATGTATCAACTAAGAAAAGGAAATCCAAATTAGATTATATATGTTTGACAGTTTACTACCCAAATCTTGTTAGCATGGCAACTTCAAGATTATCAAAAGACAAAAAGGATAAAACATAGCAAGCGCTTTGTTGATATCAAATCATAAGATGGTAATGAGTTTCAATTATCAGATCAAAACCTATTTTAAAGCTCAGTAACTATATCAGCACATTGATTCAGACAAAATTGGAGATGCATATTCTAGAGCTGATTAGATTGTTTTACAAGGAGCTATTTGAAGGAATCTTACAGGCATAAACATTGAGCTTGAATCCACCGCACTTTACGATGTTAAATTGGCTTACTTTAACCCACAATTGACTATCTGATGAATAAAAAAGAATAATAGGAAATACCATTTTTCCATGATTTTACTCATTTCACAACTGACCAAATACCCCAGTAAAAAACTTTCTAAATAGGAAAGGAGAAGATAAGTACAGACAACTTACCAAAACCAAGATCTGGATGAAGATATTTCATGAACTGGCGAGCATCATCACGCTTCTGAAATAATTGTTTCAGCAAAATACTTAACATTAAGATGAGTTACATGAACACCAGAAACTTGTTATTCTGTATATGATTGGCAGATGAGGAGGAGGAAACTTAGGAGTGGGGTATTTGAAAGGAAAGGAAAAGTATAACACCCTTAGATCTTTCCATGCAAGGGATCAAAAGAAAAATTTTGAAGGGACTAAATTGGTATTATTTAATGATTTTTATTAATTAGTAATCACATAAATTAAATACATAGATGGTGGTTGAGACTAGAGTTGACGTTAACGCCAAATTAGAGCAATTGAGGCAAAAGTTAAGAGTCTCAGGAGAGTAGACTAAGCCAGAGCGAGTATATGAAGAAGTCAAGTGGGGATATAGTAACGTTGGATGGTAAGGAGGTGCCCATGAGCAAGTGGTTTAAGTACCTTGGGTCGATTTTGCATAAGAATGGAGAAAGTGAACAAGATGTAACTCAAAAGATTAAGTCCAGCTGGCTCAAATGGAAAGTAGCAATTGGAAAAGTTACACCGTACCATAACTTTGAATATAAGGGAAATTTTTTTATCGAATATGGGTCAAAATGTTGGGCATTCAGGATGGATCATACTAAAAAAAATAAAAAGAAACAAAGATGTATGTTGATGTATGAGAACACCTTAATAAAGAATAAAGTTAGAAATGAAAATTTTAGGAGGGAAGTTGAATTTGTGAACAGTAATCCAGTAAGGATCAAATAAGAGAAAACCGGTTGCATTGATTTTGGCATGTCAAGTGGAGATCAGAAGACACACCAGTAAGTAAGGAATGTAGAGGGTTGGGATCAAAGAAATCTTGAAAGAGGAAGGGGAAGAGCAAGATAACTTGGAGGGAAGGGAGTTTAGGACAAGAAGAAGTGGAGTTTGTAGGAGCTTATGAAACCACAAAAATGGAAGGAGAAGATCATGGTTGGCGAGTGCATGAGACAAAATCTTAATTTGTGTACCAACCCCATATTTGGGATTAAGGTTTTGATTGTTGTTATCATCAAAGGTGGTCTTGGAGACCATAAATAAGCAAATGTTCATGTAATAACTTATTTGGAATGGAGGGAATAGATTATTATCATATTAAGTGAAAATAATGAGTAAGAATTTCATAAATCAAATCTTAAATGGCTATTTCACCAAATGCCACTGAGCACTTTAATAATTCACCAAATGTCATCAAAGTTTTCAAAATTCATTAAATGCCACCGAGTTTTTAAAAAATTCACCGAGTGCCATTAATGACTAACGTCTATTAACTACGTTAGTTATTAGGGTTTAATCACAACACATGTCATGATATGATTGGTTCTTTTTTAAAAAAATAACATTGTTTCTCGATTTTCGTGACGAAAATTGTTCGGGTAAAGTTTTGGGAGTTATTTTGACCGTTTATGAGTTCAAATTAAGCTCAGAACTGGCAAAAAAAAACAAAAAAAAAATGCCCCGTTTTGTATGTCGAAAAAATATCTCGATTAGCGTATCATTAGTTTTTAACCATGAAAAATGATCGGGTAAGATTTAGGAGGTCATTTTGACCCTTTATGGATCCAAATTAAACTCGGAATTAGCGAAAAAAAAATGCTTTATTTTGGTCCCTTTTTTTTTCTCTAATTCCGAACTTAATTTGGACTCATAAAGGGTCAAAATAATCTCTTTAATCTTACTCGATCATTTTTCATGATTAAAAACTGATGATATGCTAATCGAGATATTTTTCGACATACAAAACAGGGCATTTTTGTTATTTTTTTTTTGCCAATTCCGAGCTTAATTTGAACCCATAAAGGGTCAAAATAACTCCCAAAACTCGAGAACAATGTTATTATTTTTAAAAAAAAAACCAAATATATCAGGACATGTGTCATGATTAAACCCTAATAAATAATGGAGTTAACGACCGTTAGTCATTGATGGCACTCGGTGAATTTTTTAAAAACTCGGTGGCATTTGGTGAATTTTTTAAAAACTCGGTGGAATTTGGTGAATTTTTTAAAAACTCGGTGGCATTTGATGAATTTTGAAAACCTCGATGGCATTTGGTGAATTATTAAAGTGAATTATTAAAGTGCTCAGTGGTATTTGGTGAAATAGCCGAATCTGAAATACGATACACACCAATACAATCGGGACTAATAGGAAATAAAGCATAAAACTGCATACTAGCTAATTGATCCAAAATAAACAAAACATTAAAAAGAAAGAAATTTTATTGTATGTTACCTGAAAAAGCAAAAATGTCAGAGCAACAAGGTAAACGACAGCCATTCCATGAACTAGGCGCCAAATTGCAGGATGTGGTCGTATAAGGACCCTGCATAAAGTACGAATCTGGTCAGTCTATGAGAGAGAGCAGACATTACTGAAAAACTCAACATACAATTGAGGTGTTTCTACCGGATTAGATAAAAGTAGATAAGTACATAAAACATAATAACTCAATATTTTTGCAAATACACAAGTGATTTATCAAGTCTTGTAGACTAGTGGAGAAAAGATTAAAGTCAGGGATTGTAATCCCATTTTTGGAGCTTATCCTACTACATTATTCCTAACACTGCTTTTAGATAACCAGGTAGCAGGCATTAGCAATTTGCTATCATGAAAAACACAAGAGTAAGCTTACTCAGTTACTTGCATGTTACTAACCATTCCTAGGTTAATTGGAGTGATATAGTCATGCCATGCGGCCCATGCCACACACATCAATTTCCATGGTTCACTACAGAAAACCCATATGCCCAAGCAACAACAACAACAACAAAGCCTTAGTCCGAAAATGATTTGGGGTCGGCTAACATAAATCGTCATAAGGAATCATACGATATAAAGAAAAGGCCATAACAAAATCATCATTTAAAAGAGTTTGAAAAAAAGCTTAGTAAAGTAAGTAAACGACGTAGCGTTTAAGAAAAATTAGGGGAGTTTTTGAAGAGAATCAAGAATAAAATTCAAGAAAGTTTGAAAAGTGTGGTTAAAACGTTGAAGTAGAAAACATAAAGGTTTGAGAAAACTTTAGCAAAGGAAAACAATACAGTTAATAAAACTGTGGTGGGCTAAAAAAATTTAATACGAGTATAAATTTAGAAAGTATATATGCCCAAGCAAAACATGAAATTAATCCACAACAAAAACAGGGTAAGTATATGTCTTCTTAAAGACGTAAGATGAAAAAGTATTCCTTTGGTGCAAGAAAAAACACAATCAAATGTGAAAAACTTCCAACTAACTAACAAAAAGATGAGACAAACAGCCATCACTTGTATTCAGTAAATGGTAACTTTTAAAAAAAACAAAAAGCTTTCATGTTCACAAGATCCAGGAACAGCACTAAATCTGTGATTATGTTTAGATAATCTCATTGACTCAAACCTCAAAAAAATTCTTAAATTCCAGATTTTTCATATGATTCATCTTCTAGCAAAATAGCTACCTTGTGCAGCAGTAAAGCATAGACATGATCACAAGACGTAGGCATATACCATAGAAGGCCACATGGATAATTAAGTAAATGTAACAAGATATCATATTTATATCAGTCTTTTTACTTGTATATAATCAGGCTTTACCAAAGAAACAATTTAATACATTTATCCACAGGATAGTAAAAAAAAAAAAATTCAGTAGCAAACACAACTACAACTACGTAAACTTCATATATCTAAGGAAATTTTGTTAGGAAAAACCTTTTAAAGCAACTTTTTTGTCAGGAAAAACCTTATAAAAATTTTTTTTGGCAACTTAAAACCTGATTGTAATTTTTTTTGTTAAAGGGTGAAGACAATTAGACAACCAACACTCAGTTCACAGCATTGACTTGGTCTTTTCTGGCATTGACCCCCTTGTGCAGGTCACATGCCTATTTTTTTACTAATCCCACCCCTTTTCTTCTAATTTCCCTCTAACTTCCCTCTTTCTCACTCTGTTTTTAGATTCCCACCGGGTTTAAACCCTTATTCTCTCCCCTTTCTTTAAATATGCTTCAAAATTATATCAGACAACATTCATAAATTATACTGCAAAATAAATTTCAGTTCAATAATCAAACAAAAACCATCAAAACAAAATCAAATTCTAACCCCCAAAAAGCAAAATCTGGTAACGCCCAGTAGATGGAACTACGTTTACCAGCAATAGAAAGCAACATTTTACTAATCTTATCATTAGCAGTACACCCTCCTCTCTCTCTCTCTTACTTACTTCATTCAGATGTAATTAGCGCAAATTTAAAAAAGGGGCAAGAAACCCTGATTTTTTTAAAATTCTCTAATTTGATGAACTAGCCACAAATTATACAACAATCTAATAGTTTCCTTGGTTGAAATCAATTTTCAAAAACAATAATTGCCACAAAATCAAACTACCTTGCTTGAAAGATCTTCAATTGAGAGAGAACAACTTGATGAGAGAAAAGATGTAAAACAAGAGTGGGAAAGAAGTAAGTTAGAGGGAAATTAGAAGAAAATGGGTGGAATTAGTAAAAAAAAAAAAAAAAGAGAAAGAAAAGAGGTATGTGACATATTTAAGGGGGGCAACACCGAAAAATAGCAAGTCAATGCCGGAAACTGGGTGTTGGTTGTCTCTAACAAAAAAAATTTACAATCTGGTTTTAAGCTACCAAAAAAAATTTATAAGGTTTATTCTGACGATAAAGTTGCTTTAAAAGGGCTTTTTTTTACAAAATTTCCTATATCTAAAATACATGTGTAAAATAGACAACCTGCACATAGATATAATACTAAAAGCAATAGCAACTCTTGTTATCAAGGCTTTGTGCAACAAAAAAAGATCTAGCGTTATAAAATTTGGGGAAAATATTGCACAAGAGAAAGAAGCAAGTTGAAATCTCACGTTGAAGGAGCTTGTAACAAGCAGTAAGTAAGAAACACTGCAATCATTGCCCATACACCCCTGCACAACAAGATCAACAAGACAATTACGCGTGCAATTCAAAGAATAAATGGGAAATGAATAATGATGTTGCATCATTTGCATGCAATTCAAAGTACCTTTTGACTGAAGTAACAACATCATCTGATCTGCTGCTCTCGGGATCAAGAGCTCCACTAGCCCAGCTGTAAATACCAAGAAAAATGCAAAAAACAAACAATATATTATACTCTGTATACACAATTGCACACAAATTAGAAACATACTTCATGGGCTACTTGATTACAGTTGGACCAAGCTTAGATACTGTTATAACTTATCATCCAAATCAAACACAGAGCATAGAATCAAAAATAATTGTAAATGAACACAAAGCAGATACTAAAAATAATTAAACAAAAGAGACTTACATTAAGAAACAAGCACCAATGAATAACAATGTGATTGTCCGAGGTCGGTAAGCCCAAGCAGTCCAGGGGTCAAGCTCATCATCCGCACACGAATCATTTGCGCCACCATTTGCATGTGTGGTACCTTCTCTACTAATACTCTTAGATCCATCAGCCTCCATAAATATGATGCTTATATATGTAACTCTCACACTAAAACCTAGAATAAATAGACAAGAAATTAAATAAGATACATACAACAACTATCACAAATCACAAAATAACCCGACAAAATATTCCCCTCCCCTCCCCAGTTATCACGGTGCACCAATCAAGCATCAGCAAAAGGGCACCCACCAAGTCCAATATCAAGAGGGGTTCATTAAGGGTGATAACCCTTTAAACCGGCTCGAATACAAGTATGCTCAGCTCAAGCTCAATTTATACAGGTTCAGCTGATGAACTTGATTAGGCTCGAAAATTGCAACACATTAAATTTGACTCAATCATCAAATTAGGATCGAAAATCACATAAAATTTTTCTTGATTAAAAGCATCAACGTAAATTGCACATAGAAAAACTCAAAAGAACGAATCTTATAACCGACCCTGAGAAGCCAGACTCCATAGCTGATGTTTATTCGTTATTATGGATGATTTAAAGTCTTTCCTTAATAAGGAAGATCTTCCTGATTCCGTCAAAGAATTATACAATGAGTATATTGATAGCAAATTGGTAAAAAGTATTTTTATGCCGATTATCTACGGAAAGACTGAAATGAGTACGGCGGGTAATATTAAAGCGGCGTTGAAGCCGTACTTTTATCCCGCTTACAAAGAAAGCGCTGTGTTGGCCTCCCTCTGCTTCAAGTTTTGGAGGGAATATTACAAGGAAATGGATCATTTGATCCGTTTGATTCGCCTTATAGGTTGGTTTGCTTCTACCTGCGATAGCCATGTTGTCTACGATACTCAATTCGCTCATTAAAAGCTTTCATAACATCATTGATCATAACCTTAGAAGAACCCTAAATTGACTATCCTGACACTTAAATTAATGGTAGTACAAAAAAAAAAAAAAAAAAAAAATGAAAAAAAAAATACAGAAACATCTTACCTCAGAAGTTGGTTCAATGGAGTAGAAAAAGCTCAGAGTATGCGCTTCAATGGAGGAGGAGAGAGAAAATTAGAGCGTAAAAGTGACAAGCTTTGAACGGAAAACATAGGACTAGGAGAAAGAATCTCACATATTCTCACTTGTCAATTGTCAGATCTAAACATCTAATTAATATTATTCTATGTTAATTGCCATTTTTGTTCAACTTGTTTCAAATTCTCACTAAGGTTTTCCTAGAAATTCCTACTAGTCTACTAGGGTCTATTTTCCTACTAGCCTACTAGGGTATATTTTTTTCACCTTAATTTCAATTCAGTTTAGGTTAATCATTTTAGTTCAATTCTTTTCAGTTTTTAATTTTGCTCCACTCATAAAATATTTAGTTCAGCTCTATTCAATTCAGTTCAGATCAATTTAGCTCTAAATCAGAACAGGATTTGTCCTATTCAATTCACCTTGAAAAATATTTAGTAAAATTTCTAATTAAGGAAATTAATTTCGCTTTAGTAAAACTAATTTTTACTTTAGTGAAAATAATGTCAATTCAATAAAAAAAAAACAATAACTTTAATCTATAGTAATATATAAAGTGAAAGGGGGTTTTGGGTGATAAATTTCACTTTCCTAAAATACCCCTTTCATCTTTTATAATTTTCAAAAGAAAACTACCATAATTTAAAAAATATAACTACCATTTATTTTAAAAAACAAAAATAAAAACAAAAAAACTACCACCCTTTAATTTATTTTTTTTTATTTTTTTTTAGGGAAATCATATTTTGCATGAACATTATAATGTACTCATATCTTACCTTTTAACCTTTATGATTTCATCAATTTATAAACCCACTAATATTTTTTTATTAGAATAAGGTAGATAATATTTTAGGGGAAAAAAAAAAAGAATCGAGTAGTCATGCATATTAATTTCTTATGTTGCAAACGCAATTTGCGTGTGTCTCACAGCTTGTAAAAATAAGGTGAAGTGAATAAGGTCCAATAAAGCCACGGTCATACCACAAGACAACGACACTTAACATTCCAAGTTTTCGCCAACTGTTGCGCCATATAGGCGACAATGCATAAACGTAACTCTTTAGATGTTAGGTAAGTGATTTCGAATTGATTTATTAAAATTAAAAAAAAGTTGTTTTAAAGTTTTATTTTTGATAAATTTTAATCTCTCACATACGTAAAATAATTTTTTAACTAGTGTAAAGCCCGAGCAATGCCCCGGGTTGCTATTTGGACTTGTTTAGTCTGCTAATCATTTTTCTTGATACTTAATAATCATCTTGAAATTTCATTACTTGAAAAAGATTTGTATAGGGAACCAAATTCAATATATGATATATTATGATGATTTAAAGACATTCAACAACTATTGACTATTAAATAGAAAAATAAAATTATTATTTTTCATCAAATCCAAAATAATTCAAAGTTTCCAAACATTATACTTTAAGTTGTTAAATCATATTACGATCGTTACATAATGGAAACAAATAGTATTAACACTAAGTATATTATCTAAGTTAATTGTAATTTTTTGGGTAGAAAAACAAAAAAAAAAAATGGCTAAGGGCATGTTCTCTTACGTTGAAATTCAGTTTAGTTCAGTTCAGTTCAGCTCAGTTCAGTTCAGTTCAGTTCAGTTCAGCTCCTAATTTCCTTCTCTTATAAAATATTCATTTCAATTCAGTTCAGTTCAGCTCTGCTTAGTTCAGTTCAGTTCAATTCAGCTCAATTCAGTTCAGTTCAGTTCAGCTGAGTTCAGTCAATGAGAACAGGCTCTAAGATGATAAGACTTGTAACTTAAGACTTGTTTGTCTCGAGTTCAAGTCTTTGTATAAGAATTTTTTAGTTCTCAAATCCAATACATGTTGTGAAGCTGACAAGTCATGTTTGTAAGGCTTTAAAAGGTGACATGTGTCACATATTCTGTTTTAGGATCACTTTTTAATATACTAATTGTGGCACCGCGCGCTGCGCGCGCGGTCCCCCAATGGAGGCAATAATTGTCCGTAAATTATGTATACGATGGAATTGTTACATGTTAATTTTGTTTGCGAAGTGTATAAATTTTGTATGCATTTAAATTGATACAACCAATGTTATAGGGAAACATTTAAAGCTAGAAAAACAAAGGGCATTCTCCAAGCTATGCCAAACTCAATTATTGTTTGTGAAGTGTTTAAATTTTATATGCATTTAAATTGTTATGATTAAAGGTATTTTTAATTTACAAATTCTGCTAGATTTTAGATAATGAAGCTCTCAAGTCTTTAAATATTTTCTTGTTAGTTAGAATTTAGAATTCCAGCCATCATAATGTGTTGTGTCGTTCAAAATAACAATCCATTTAAAATCTTAGGTCTAATAACACCCACTGATTTCATAATAGTCATCATATCATAAAGAAGTAAAAACATTGTATTAGAAAAGAGTAACCTAATAAGTTTGATTTCTTAATAATACAAGATGCCTATTAATACGATGATAGTATCATTTGATGATTTCTTAAGTGGTCATTCTCCCTCTTAGAGATCTTTTATATGTGATCTTTCTCTCAAGTGTTTTTTCTTCAGAAATTAGCTCAAGAAAACACAATAAGCCTAAATGGTCCAACATCTTAGTAAGTCTTTTCCATTGACAATTGACTTGATTTTTTTAAAGTGGGCTTTTTTTTTTTCTCTCTCTTAAGCTAGTTGCCATGTTATTCTTAAGTGATATTTGTTGTGTGGTCCTCTCTCTCTCTGCCATTTTTATAAGCCTTTTTCCTAGGTAAAAAGAGTTTTAATTTCTTAAGCTAATTGCCCTAACTTACTTAAGTGATACGTAGTATCTCTCTTATGTGGTCCATCTCTATCTCCTAAGCTAATTTCCTTTATTACCCTGATTTTCTTAAGTGATCTTTTTAAAATGGTCTCTTGATTTTATTATGTGTTGTTTATTTTTAAAAAGTGATCCTACTTTTACATCAAAAAAAATGGTCTCTTGATTCCTCAAAAAAAAAGAAGCGACTTTTCTTCTTCAGTGATCTTTCTTAAGTGATCTCTTTCTAGCATTTAGGAAGTCTTTTTTCTTATGTTAATTTCTTTTATTTTATTAAGTGATATTTCTTAAGTGGTTCCTCTCTCTTAGAATGACTCAATATTTCCTTCTATATGTTAATTTAAAAAAAAAAATAGCATTGAAAGTAATAATTTTGGTTTTGCTAATATTATAATTATATCCAAATTGTTTTATGGTTTTGTTGATATTATAAAGGCAATACATGTCAGCTTACCCCTTATTTTAAGGAAGGTAATCGTTTTTTCTTAAGTTAATTGTGTTTTCTTAAGCATTTTAGTAAAACCTTTTCCTAAGCTAATAATTGTGGTTTTCTAAGTTCATTGCCCCCCCCCCCCTTTTTTTTCTTCTTAATTGGTCTTTTCTCCAAAGCTAATTGTCCTAATTTTCATAAGTGATTTTTCTTAATTGGTCTCTCTCTCTCTCTCCCCTATATTTATTGATTTGATTTTCTTTAGTGATCTCTTTCTCTTAAGCTAATTGTCTTATTTTCTTAAGTGTTCTTTCATAAGTAGTCTCTCTATCTATCTCGCGTGCATTTTAGTAAGTCTATTTCCTAAGCTAATTGTCCTAATTTTTTTTTGTTTTTTTTCTATCTTAAGTCATTTTTCTTTCCCCTAAGATAATTTCCTTAGTTTTCTTAAATGATCTCTCTCTTCCCATCTTTAGTTCCTTAAAATATTACAAATGCGTGATAGGTGTATCATCCAATATATCAACACAATAACTACATCGTAAGTACTAACCAACAAAAATATTCAACGTATTTCGTTGAGGTGATATTAATAGGATGGTGTAATAATTATAGTTGTTTAATAATAAGAAATCGACTCCATAAATTGAGCAAAATAATATGAAGAAATTAAAGATTTATATAGACTATTATGCACTCTGTATTAGAAACCAACCTACAAAATAAATAGGCATGCAATAGAGTAGTATAGATTTTGATTGCCAAAATCTAAATTATAAACCTAAAATAAATAATTTCAAATCAAACAAATCCATCCATTTCAAATCTTGACTTTACAGAGTCACCTCAGTAGAGGCGATGTATACAAATTATAATATTAGCACCATAATAGGTTACTCGATATAAAAAACTAAACTATATATATAAGACCTTCACATAGTTTATGTGTAAATATGCAAATTTATGAATAATTGATTCATCAAACTAAAATATGTTAAAAGCACACCCATCGAACTCTCAGTTCATCAATCCATCCTCATAACTTGAAAATTGGCAAATATAAAGTAAACTGCAATAGAGCATTTTTCATATTTGTAACAATTAAAAATTGATGAATAAAATTTAACTGTCCTTATACCAGTATAATGCTGGCGCATACAGGATTACCTAGAATATTGCACGAAATTGAATTGGCTTAGGGCACCATCTTGTTAACTACGGAGTAACAAACATACTATTCATATTTTCTTGATTAAAATTATACTTTTATCACCTCAAATTAAGATGACAATTACAGAAAACTAATCACAGATGATTATAAATGTTGATATGAAACAGTACAAAACTGCAACATTGAAAATAAAGTTCATGCCTAGTCCTTCATTATAAGTTACAAACAAGTCTCAATGTCTTTTTTTTCAGATGTCCCGTAGAGAAAATTTATTCAAGAATCTAACTGATTTCCATAAAAAAAAAAAAATATAAGTTACATAGTATAAATTAAGCAATACTTCATTAGTTGCATTTCTCAATTTGGGAAATCTAAGCTCACAGCAGCCCATTTGTTCTCACAAACTTGCAGCAAAGCAATCCCCTTAAGAATATTAGCTATTTCAGGAATATAGGAGTAAACTCTAACGTGGCTGCAAAGCAAGAAAATTGTTGCTTCAAGATCTTCTTTCTACTTCTCTGAACCCGAAGGTTTTTCAGCTGAAGCATTAGCCTTTTCACCAGACAAGCAGAAATTTCCCTAGTTTTACCTAATAGCACAAATATGTATTTATAACAAGAATTAAAACTATGCAAATTACAGGGGTTAATTGGAGAAAATTTACCATAATTCATAGATAATACAGACAAAACTATGTTTAGAACAGGAAACCTGAGAATGGCCCCAATGCCACTGAGACATGCATTAATTAATTTCTTTTATAGTTTTACATCTGATCTAATGCTATTGTTTGTGGACTAAATTCTTCACAAATATCTTGAAGTGAAAATATAAGGAGATAAAAATCTACCTATATTTGAACCATATACATTACTTTGTATTTGTCTAATATAATAATGATGTGTGTTTACAAGCAACATATTATATACAATTAAATTGTACACATCTAATTATTAACCGACCCTAGGTTTCGGACTTGTTTCCTTGAGGAGAAACTTATGTGGAAATTACTATCAACTTTTCAAAATACTATCCATATTTTCAGATGGAAAAATGGTTTCTTCTTACTTCTTTTCTTACAAAAAGCATCATTATTTCAGCAAAAGCAGCAAATTTATACTACTTTAGTCTGTAGATAATCTCATGTGATTACTTTTTCCTAATCCCTAACATGTAGGCTTACATGACAAGGAAGCATTGACAAACGTAATAAAACATATAATAGTAATACAAACTAAATACTGATGCAAACAACTAAATTTTTCTTGATTACCCAAAAAAAATTTTTTATTTTTTTTTAAAAAAACTGATAGATTCTGAATTCTGAAAGGGACTTACCCTTGATAAGAGAACCATAATCTTCTTTAGAGTTGATTTTCCCGTGCTTTTTGGATTTGGTTTTGGGCTCCCTTCCTTAAGCTAACTTAGGTCCAGTGTCCTGTTTAAAACAACAAATGCAAACCATGCAATTACACATAATCACAAAATTGATTATGCAAACAAAATAGTATAAAGTGATTAATCTTGTTATATGATTAAATGTTCTATTGTAACCTCTGTAAAATTTTCAAGGATAATGAAAGAAATAGCCCTAGACATTAGTAATATTTACTTTGAAGCGATTACGAAGCAGCTGAATCTTTTGACCTTTGATCCCACTGCCGCATATAGCCATAGGGTCACGTTTCTTCTTTGTGCGGATCTGGTTCAGCCTTAATTGGTACTATATCTGGAAGAATTTCTGTTGGAGGCGGAGACAAAGCTTCTGCTGATCAATTACCATTTCCATTTTCATCATGTGGATACATATTCTATCACAAATCTGTCACAACACAAAACGAAAGCATAGGTTAACAATATCAGCTACTGTTTAAGATGTGAGATTTTATTATTCATTATGTTTATTATAATTTCCAATCAAAACAGAAGTACTGTTCTGATGCTCTTGCTTCTTAACTTCTGGCATTTTCTTGGTGACTGCTTTAATTATGTTGAGCAGTTAAATGTAACTTTTCTAATCAAAATCCAACTGTAATGACATGACAATAACCTTTGTTTTGTTCGTAACCAGTGTCAAACTGGTACAACTGTAGATTAAACCCAAAACCATTAAACCAAATCTCATAAAACAGAAATGATCTCATACATAACAATACTCTCAAATACAATTAAACCTGAAATCTATCATGAACTCCTATCTAAAATATAAGACAGAGAATGAACTCTAAAACACCATTATTAAGTATCTTTTTTCAAATCAAAGTTAGAAACCAATCCCATATTCAAACGCTTAAGAAAATTATAACAATTATTTAAAACATTAGAATAAAACTAAAGATTAGTCTAAGCGAATTTTAAATTTTTATATGTGACAAAGTTTCACAATTTATTTACTCAATAACTGAAATTCATACAACATATTCTATATAATAAATATAGCATCTAACAATCCTAAAAAATTTCTTTTTATTCAATGCCTTATGTGAAACCTAGAAAAATTCCTTAAGTTTACCAACTACCATAATATGCCTTAGATTATTGCCTCTTATAATGCTTTCTTAAAGAGATTCAATATTTCCTCCTTTTACTTTAAAAAAATATATTAGGATTTTTTTTTTTTTTGTAGTTTTGTTGATATTAAAAGTATTAATTAAATTTATATCCAAATTGTTTTTATGGTGTTATTTGTTGATTTATATAAAGTCAATTCATGTTAGCTTTTCCATATCTTTTTATCACTTCTGGTAAATTTTTTCCTATCTCTTCTTCCCTCGTTGGGTGTTGTGTACCCTCTATTTTCCCAATCTTATAGTTCTTATTGCCTTATATGAACTTTCTTAAATGGTATTTCTATCTCTCTAAAGCTAATGCCCCTAATTTTCTTAAGTGGTCTTTAATAAGTGGCATCTCTCTCTCTCTCTCCCTCTCAGACACACACACACACACATATTAACTAATTGACTTGATTTTCTTAAATGATCCTTCATAAGAGGTCTCTCTCTCTCTCTCAAGCTATTTCCATGATTTTTTAAGTGATCTCTATCTCGCACACACATTTTAGTAAGCCTTTTTCCTTAGCTTATTGCCCTGATTCTTAAGATAATTTCCTTGATTTTCTTAAATGATCTTTTTTCATAAGTGATCTTTCTTAAATGGTTTCTTTCTCACTCCCTCACTATTTTAAGCTAATTTCTATGACCGCTTTGATTTTCTTAAGTGATTTTTCTTAAGTGGTCTCTTGATTTTCTTAGGGGATCTTTCTTTTCTTAAGTTACCTTTATTCTAAATTGATCTTCCTTCTTAATTGACCTTTTTTAGGTGATCTTTCTTCCTGAATGATCTTTCTTTCTTCTTGAGTGCGTGGTCTTTCTTCTTAAGTGATAAGTGCTCTCTCTCTATATATATGGAATTTATTAACTTTTTTCTAAGCTAATTTCTCTTAATTTCTTAAGTGATCTTTCTTAAGTGGTATCACTATTTTTGTTAAATGATCCTCTTAAGTGCTCTATGTCTCTTAAGAAATTAGTTTAAGAAACTGTAATTAGCTTATGTAGCCATTTCCCCCTAAAAAAAAAACACTTATGTAGCCATTTCTTTTTCTTTTTATATAAAAAAACGCTTATGTGGCCATCAATTTGGCAAGCCTTGCCACAAAAGAAGAAAAAACAACAAAATAATTACCAAATGATAATGAAATTTAATGAAAAGAAAATTAAATTACAAATTAAATTCCTCAAATATACTTAAAAAATGGCTTTAACAATGCTTTTCTTTTTATTGTTATTTCTCTCTGTTTTAGGTTTGGCTTATAAAGTCAATTCCTACTTGTTCCTACTCCCATCTTCTCTTTTTATCACTCTTCTTATAGTTCTCTTCATTTTTTTCCTTCCTTTTCATTGTGTGTTATCTTCTCTTACATATTTCTCCATCTTTACTACGTAGTATCTTTTTTCTCCTTCCTATCATTCTTCCTCAAAGCTTTTTGATACCTTTTCCTCCATTTAGCTCCTATTTTACAGTTTGAACACTTTAGTTAGTTTAATCCTAATTGCCTCCTACCCCATTTTCTTTTGTAATTATATTTAATGTATTTTATAACCATCCTCAATTTCACTCTAGAAATGGCCTCTTAAAAATGAACCTATTCGTTCTTTCTCCATTCTTTTATAAGTTTGCAAAGTTTAGTCATTTCCTAGAGCATATATATATATATATATATATATATATATATATATATATATATATATATACCTAGCTCGCCTAGTTCCAGAAGTTCATAATCCAACCTTAAAATAATAAAAATAAAATAAAAAGAAATTTGTTAGAAGGCACAAGTTTTAATCTTCCATTAAGCAACTTTACTAAACTAATGAACAAATAGTTTCTATATTTCATATAAAAATCTTCCAAATATGGAAAAGAAAAGGAGCAGAAGAGTACGATGCCCAATTTCCCCATGGTTGCACCTTTAAAAATCGAAGAATACTAAATATGTGCTCATGATTATATTGTTCTGGAAATTAAAAATCAAATGTAAGTCATCATAACTTGAACAAAGTATAGTTCTCATACATGATTTCAAAATAATCTAGGTAAGAGGCAGTATTTAAAGCAAGCATTACACAATAGAAGATGGTATGTACTATGTACTACATTCTAACTGCAGATAAAGCATTACACAACAGAAGGTATATATTAAATTCTAACTGTAGAGAAAGTATTACACATCAGCTAAAGGTATGTACTACACTCTACCTGCTGAGAATTATATAGCAGCAAAATACCCAAAAATTTGCCTGGATAAACCAACAAATATAGTAGAATATTAAGCTCTCGGATACCAGTTTCCTTCGGGGCATAATATTCTTTAAGTTCAAACAAAAATCATAGATCTTTCACACTTTAGAACACCCTATACAGAATCTGTTTAGGGTAAAAATACCCTAGACACGTGGACCAATGAGAGGAGGCCACGTGTCGAGTTCAGGATGGCCCACGTGGCTTAATATCCTTTTGACACATGGCCCCCTTGGATACATCTCTGAAATGGCGGCCTTCAAGGGCCCAAATCCCAAAAAGCGTCGTAAAACGACGCAGCCCACTAAAATCTAGGTCAAGTGACCTAGATAGGGGCACATTCTCCAATGACCCTATAAATAGGTAGATATTTCCCCACTTTTGGGGGATTCAATCATTTATTACACCCACATTCTCTCTCATCAGAGAAACATCTGAGCTTGGAATCCAAGCAGATCCCCACCTAAATTTCCGCATTCTTTATTCCCTTTCAAGTTACTAACTTGATCGTCGGAGGCGGAGCTCCAACAACCCGGAGTCTCCGTTGTTTTGCAGGTACAACTCAGCCGGACCAGACTTCGTGACGTAACTCTCCCGAGGGAAAAAAAACACCCAAAACATTTGGCGCCGTCTGTGGGGAGAGTACCTCGAAGATGGTTCAAGAGTCCGTACCACCTCCTAACCGTCTGGGTGATGACCCACAGACCAGGAGGATGAAACATCCTCAGGTCGAAACTTATACACTTATACAGCCAATGATGGCTCTCTGATAACCAAGCGCATCCGGCCCAGAGACACTCTGGAGCGGGGTGCCACCTAGGCGGGTAGCAGTCGACATCCTAGGCAGCCGGAAGGGGAAACCCACACGACAGCTGGATCAGCACCCGTCACCCGAGACGAACTCATGAGGTTCATGACAAGTTTCAGGGGTGAAATTAAAGAACTGATCACTAAGAGCCGGGTTGGCCCAAGTAGGGGTCAGTCGGCAAAGAAGACTCCTCTGGAAAAGGGGAAGTCAGTCAGAGATCGGCAGCCAACTCCTCATCCAAAGGAGAAGGCAGCCGGGACCATTGATTGGTCCAAAATTGTAACACCCCAATAATTCTCTCTTTAAACCTCTGAGGACCCTGAACAATATTCAAGAGAATTACTGGCGTGCTACCGCCACGTGTTCAAACGTTAAGGCTTTATTAGAAAATAGCAGCGGAAAAACTAAATCAGTTATAAATAAGTTTCAAAACCAACGAAAGAAACCAAATTAAGTCATACAAATTGGAACCATTAAGGCCCTTATTCAAAACCCAATAAAAGTAGTAAGTGATTAAATTCAGTGTTCAAATAAATTCAAACCCAAAAGAAATAGTGTCGAATAAAATCGAATTAAAATAAATTCAAACTTGCAAAAGAAATAAAAAGCAAACAACCAACTCTCTACTCAAGATCCCACAACCCTGATGAATGCTGCATGTGTAAGAACCTGTGGTAATTCTGCTCCCCAATTTTACAAGTGTAAAAATTGGATCGTCACAGGGTCATTGAAAGGCGAAGTCCATGACCAAAGAAAGACACACAAAGCACGCAATCAGCAAAGCTGAGTACATACAAGCTGCAAAATAAATTAAGAAATCCATAACATGCTACTAATAATCAATCATCATGCATCATTAAATTATAGACTCAACACACGACTCAACTATATATATTACTAAGACTCCATTAATTAATAATAGGTAAATCATTATTTTTATTCATTGGATTACGCAATAGACAAGGTTGTCCAACCCATGCTCCATTTGGAACATCAATAAAAGAAAAACCCCATGCCTCCTTTCGGAAACATCAATAAACATCCAACGACCACGGGCGCGACTCCGTGACCGTAGTTAGTATGAGATCTCACCTAACTCCTAGTTTTGAAAAATATTTGAAATAAGAGACTCGTAGATCAGACGGCCTCGAGAAAAGTACACGGCTAATACCCCATGTACCCCAACCCCTCATTGTCATTACTCCAGAAGTGCACCAATCCAGAGTTTTATTGCTCATCCATCTTGCACTTTACGTGATTTATAGGTTTAGACTTGGTGATGACTCATATGCATAACAATACAATCAATCCAATATCAATTCAATCAAGTAAAACAGCTTTTCAATTTCAATTCTTGATTTATTAGTGGCAAGCAACATTTATTATTTATTCCTTTACTACCTCGGTGTATAAACACCTTGAGTGCATAAGGCACCCCAAAACCTTAACCTCGTCTTAGAAGACTTAAATTCTTCCTTTACTCATCCTGCTTGCATAATCATGAATGAGTAATAAATTAATCATTACACCAATCATATACCTTTACCTCTAAGCGCACCTTGCATAATTAGAGCACAAATAATACTTGCAATATAAAATAGTGCACGTCATACGAAATTCACAATGTATAACCAAACAATTTAACTCAGTCATCCCTATACATGATACTAAGTTCTCGATCCGTCGTCCTTAAACATGCACCTAAAAGAAAGGTTTCGTAACTTGTACGTACCTTGAGCAAACGAATTGGTATGCCACTTTACTAACTAGAAATCACCTTCAATAAACTCCTCTCCTAAGCCAAATAATAACATCTCAATCAATACCCAATCAATCAAATTTACAGCAATACTAACTTAATTTAAAACCTTCAAAATCCAAATCAAACAACACTTTAAAACCTTCCCTTTAGTTAAAATTAAAGGCTTATATATAGTTCTTTAAATTTTCTTCATAAAAACCTTAAAATACACTCTTATACATGAAATTACAGCAAGTTCAAAGTCTAATAAAAATCTGAAAATTATATAAAAACCCCTAATAATCTCCCTTTTTAATGGGTGATTAAACCCTCTTTATAAAACATCAAAAGTAGTACTTCAAAACTATTTCCAACACTTAAAACTTCAATAAAAACATATATTTATGCTTAATTAACTTTAAACATAATTAATTTTATTAATCAAACTCAAGGATAATATGTTCAGTATAAAAAAACTTCGTTAAAATCAAAAACTGCCCGAAAATCATATTTAGAGGCTGAATTTGCCCGAAAATCTTAAAACGTTGTTTCCACATGAAAAACACTACTTTTTTTATCAAAATCGGATGAGTTCAGAATCTGATCGGGATTAAAACGGGATTAATATTAACGAACGAAAATCTAAAAATTAAAACACGAATCTATGTGTTCAAAATAATCTGGAATTAAGTTAAACTAATCAGTAGTTATAATCACCAAAATTTCAAAACATCATTACTATAAAAGCCCTAAAACAATTGTTCATAAAAACCCTAAAATCATGATTTTCAATAAATTGAAACCCTAGGTTTATAATTCATAAAGTATGAAATTTATAACATAAATATAATCTGAAATTTATAATCTTTATACCATTAAAATATAATTTGATACTAAAAATATAATCTTTATACTAAAATCAAAACCCAAAACAATTAAATTAACATTAAGCAAAATAATGAAACAAAGGAGGATGAAAATAAGACTAACCTTTTTGTGTGAGAAATTTTTGGAGATTCATGGGTTATTTATAGGAGAGAATTATTGTACGGTAAAAAGAAAGATTGGGCCTCATAAAAATAATGGGTCGATTAAGTAAACAAATGGGTTAGGCTTGTGTGATTGGACATAAATTGTAGAATAAAGGTGCACAAAATAATTTGTTCAAATAATTTTGACCCAGATTAATAATTTGAAACTTTTGAAATTAAATTATGAAAAATAACAAATAAATATTATAAATAAAATAAATTTTCATTTATAAAATATTTAAAAATACGGGGGATTACAAAAATTCTTCTGCCTAAGAGGAATACCAACAATCCCCACCAGACTCAACAGCCGGTGGGAAGCAAAAATCAACTCTTGATGCCCGGGAGATCATCACCCGCAAGAGGAATCAGCAGTTGTCTGAATCGGCTTCTACGTCAAACTTTCCAGACAGCTTCAACAACACCTCTGCAGGGAATGCACTTTCCCTGCATGAGAGCCTCCATTCGGGCCCTCAGATGATTGGGACTGCACCGTATGTACCTTCTCATGTCTACGGTCAGTATCCTCCTCATTTCATGCAGTCGGCCTTCTTCGGAGGTCAGGCGGCATACAACACTGTCCAGCCACTGGACTGGCAGCTCCGTCTGCTCCGCCTGGGTGAAAAATTTTCTGCGTTCACCCGGGAGATAACCGAGGCGGCACAGCCGGCCAAGGTTAAAAATGTGTTGGTAGGTACCTATGACGGCACCACCAACCGGAAGATCACCTTATGGCATACACCAACCTCATGTACTTACAAGGGCATTGCCTAACAATGGTTTGGCAATCTGCCAGCCGGGTCCATCGATAGATTCAGGAAG